GCGGGCCTGGAGCGCGGGCCTGGAGCGCGGGCCTGGAGCGCGGGCCTCGCTCTCAGAAGTAAAGGGAGAGCGCCTAGGAGCTGGAGGTGAAGGTGGGTGGGGTAGGGTGGGGTCCGCTTCCCTAGCAGAACACCAGGGGGCCGGACGTGGGCCCCCCACTGGGAGTGTGTGGTGTCACTTAGGCCAGAGAGAGACCCCAGTCCCCAGGGCCCACCATCTACCACTGCAAGCACAGTGGTGACACTGGGGCGCTATCTGTGACCAGCTTGTGCTGTCCTGGGCAGGTGAGTGGGGGGGGGGGGGGCGCAGGGCCCCCTAGCGGCTTGCTCGGTGGGGTCCAGCCACCCTGCTGGGCCACGCGCCCTGGTTGTTGCATCCACGTAGCTGGCGGCTGGTTTACTAAGTGAGCAGGCCATGCTGACTCTGGGTCTTCTCTCCACCCCGTGCTGTTGCACTTGGACTTCAGGCTTCACGTGCGCTGTACCATCAACGCCAGTGACTTCCTGCCGCTCCGGGCGTCTATCTTCCCACCCCCCTCGCCGGCCCCCGTGATCCAGTCTGGCCCCCTGCGGTTCCAGCTGCGGATCGCCACGGGTACAGTCCCTGGAGCCCTCTTCCTGCCCCGCGTCCCCACGCACAGCCCTCCAAGGCTCACGAGTCCCTCGCCCTGCAGATGAGACTTTCCGCTCCTTCTACGAGGAGGGGGACTACCCCATCGTGAGGCTGCTCCGCGAGCCTGTGTCCGTGGAGGTCCGGCTCCTGGACAGGACAGACCCCGGTCTGGTCCTGCTGCTGCACCAGTGCTGGGCCACTCCCAGCGTCAGCCCCTTCCAGCAGCCTCAGTGGCCCATCCTGTCAGAGGGGTGAGCGGCAGTGGGGGCTGGGGCTGCCCTGGGGGCTCCCTCCATCCCCCTCCCTGGTCCCTCTGCGGCTTCCTTGGCCTCTTTCCTTCTCAGGTGTCCTTTCGACGGTGACAGCTACAGGACCCGAATGGTAGCCTCAGACGGGGCAGGGCTGTCCTTCCCATCACACCACCAGCGCTTCACCATCACCACTTTCGCCCTCCTGGACCCTGGCTCCCAGAGGGCCCTCAGGGGACAGGTGAGAAGTACCTCGGAATGCCTGCTCCCCGAATGTTCCGTGGGATAAGCTGGTCCCCGAAGTCCTCCAGCACCCTGCAAGCTATGGGTCCCCGGAGGTCCCCAGACGGGGCTTCGTGGAGGGTGGTGAGCCAGGTCCTGGCCACCTCCAGACCACTCAAGAGGGAGGAAGGGAAACCCGGAGTATGGATGCCACCAACCCTAAATCTGCACCCTGTTCACGGTGTTCTAGAGTGACTTTGCTTCTGACTCTAGAAAGCGTGCGTTTCAATTCTGCTTGGAATGTTTATAATCTCTCAACTTCTCTGGGAGGTAAATGGGTCCACTTAGGGCATATTTAAGTTTTCTGCAGAATGCACAAGTGACCCCGTAGGCCCTAGGCTTCCATGGAATTTGTTCTACTGAAAGATGCCCTCACAAGACTACATACAGCCAACTCTGGATCTCGAAGCAGCCGCACGTTATTACCCCAGGTGCAGACAGACGTCACCGGTTAGCACTGTGAGGGTGGCTTCATTCTCCTCTCTACCTCCTGCCTCTCGGGAGCCAAGAGCCTCTCGCCTGCTGGATGAAGACGCATCTGCTGGCTGGGCCTCCGGGGGCTGGCTCAGCTCCGCTCTGCGCCTCCGGCTTCTTCTCCTCCTCCTGGGAGCTGCCCCTGGCTTTGTTTCTAGAAGCGGGGATAGCCCGTCCCCCGGCTGCCTGGCGGAGCCCCACCTCCTCGGAGGCCAGCACTGCCGGGGGACTCAGCAGTCGGGGCCACGCTGGAGAAGCTGAGGGCTGGGGCCAACTCCCAGGCCGAGCTGCCTGCCCGCAAGGAACCCGGCTGCAGACTTGGGCCACCGGGAAGGAGGGGAGGCACAGGTTCCAAATTAGGAAACGACGGTTCTGGCGCTGACCCTCAGCAGGCGAGGCCGTGGTTTTGGTCTTGGTCTACACAGCCAGACCTCAGCCCGCCCGGCGGCCGGACAGCTGGCAGCAGTGCGGACTCTGCCTAGGTCCTGGATTCTGGGTGCTTCCTAGGTCTGGCGCTTCCTGCCCGTGGCTCCAAGCTGGCCCCGTGCTCTTGACCGTATTCTCCTCCCACCAGGTTTACTTCTTCTGCCACTCCTCTGCGTGCTCCCCCTCGGGGCTGGAGACGTGCTCGACCATGTGCAGCTCTAGGCCCGCTAGTGAGTCTGGGGCAGGGCGGAGGGGCGGTCTTCATTCTTCTGGCCCCAGGCCTGTTCCTGGCTTCCGGGCCAGAGACCGGCCCACGATGCCACCCCTCCCCCGCCCAGGACAGCGACGATCCTACACTCCGCACGGCGCGGCCACCGGGCCGCAGAACCTCGTGAGCTCTCCAGGGCCAGTGGACTTTGAGGATTCCTCCGGGCAGGAGCCCCCGCTGGGGCCCACAGGTACCGGCAGGCGTGTTGCTGCCGGGGGACGCTCGGCTACGGCGCAGGCGGGAAGGGGTGTGACAGCACTGGGGGCAGGGAACTGAGCAAAGACAGCCCACCTGACCCGGGGGGGAGGGCAGCCTCAGCTCTGCCGGGCGTCATCACAAAGGTCTGGTGGCACCTCGCTCAGCCCTGCAAGCCTTCAAACCCCTTCTCTCCCACAGGCTCCCCCAGGAACGCTAACCAGAGGCCTCTCCTCTGGGTGGTCCTTCTGCTGGTGGCTGTGGCCCTGGTCCTTGGGGTCGGGGTTTTCGCGGGCCTGAGCCAAGCCAAGCCCAGAAGCTCCAGGAGGGCGACAGAGGGCGACTGGGCTCAATAAAGCACCGTGTCCAGCCTGCCCAGAGGGTGTGGAAAGCTATTCGTGGCGACTAGAAAGATTCGGTCTCAGAAGCGTGTTCCTTCGTGTCAGGTCTGTCGTGTCAGAACGGTGACCTCTTCGACAAATACTTAATGTGGGCCGCGCCCTGGGGAGAGTCCAGTGTCTCCCAAGGCTGATTCGGGAGACTTTGCCTTTCAGCAAGGAGAGACGGCATTCCAGAGAGAACCAGATAAGCGAGGGTAGAGGAGGGTACAATCACAGCAGAGTCCGAGCCCCAGTAGGTAGGAATGGGGAGCCCCGAGGGTGAAATGGCCCGTGAAGGCCTGACCCCGTCGCCCAGACATGGGAGTTCTGACTTTCTCACAGCACGCTGCTCAGCTCCCCGTGGGGAAGGGGCACCCAGAGCTCCTGGGGCCTTGAAAGAACTCTTCAGTCTTGCTCTGAGCCTCAGCTTCCCGCTAAAGGATGCTGGGGCCCGCCAGCCTCCCTCTCCCCTCCTTCAGCACACGCCGCCCCCCCCCCCCCCCCCGCCAGACTAGTCCACTCCCGGGCTGACACAGCAGCCTCTTGGCCCTGATGCTGGCTGCCACAGCGGGCCTGGCCCCCCCCACAGCTCAGTACCAGCGCTGGTTGTGTGGCTGACTTTCGTGTGCCCCTGTAGGACCTAGGCCTTCATCTCTGACTTGGCCACAAAGAACTTTCCAGACTGACCTGTAGATCTAGGCTGGGAAGGGGTAGCAGTTGGGAGGGGTTGGGGGGGTGGGGTAGGGTTCAGCCTCTGGTGACAGGAGCGAATAATCTGGTAGGTGGGTCCAAACTTGACTTTCGATCTTTTTTCTAAAGGCCTTGGTGGGGCATGAGCTGTGACAGGGAACCACACAAGTGAGGCCGGGGGCCTTGACACTAGGCAGGGGCTTCTCTTTTCTGGCCCGCTCTACCTTCTCGGTCTGGGGATACTGGTCAAATAGAGGGGCTCCAAAAATCAAGCTGCTTTGTTACAACCCCAGTTCTGTCTCTTATTAGCTGTAATACTGAGTTACTGAACTTTTGGGAGCCTGTTTCCCCCTCTGGAAAATGGGGGTGATCCCCATCCCCATCCCCATCCCCACAGGGGTGTTAGGTAAATTAACAGAAGAATCCCTCAAGGAGCACATGACAACATTTACTGAACGCCGTAAACTACTAGAATTTTTCTTCTCTGCCCCAAGCTTCATGCTTTGCTTAAACTCTGAAGACCAGTTTATAGCCCAGAGGAGGAGGGGCTGGGGAAAAGGCTCGCTGGGGGTGGCAGCATGGATCTTCGGGCCCGAGTGTTCTAGACACTTGTCGTGGGAGTTAGCCAAGGAACTTCCCTTGTCTGGGGCTGCCTTCCCGCTGTGACCAGGGATGGCCAGTGCTGTCCGACCTCCTGGCCTGTACTCGGGGCCAGGGTGAAATTATGAGGATTCGTAGCTTTGGTGTTGGGTGAAGAAGCCAGACTGACTTGGTCTGAAGGGGTCAAGGTTCTGGTTCGTCCATCCAGGACCGACTCTTCTTTCTTACCACGGCCTTCATCATCCAGGCTCACGTAGGCATTTCAAATGGCACAGAAGGGTGGTTCTATGAATTGCATCGATGCTGTGCTTAACCTCGATTCTGTAGATCCCACATGGAATCACATTATGTAACTTTAAGGGTGTCGTGTGTGTTTTCTTACCACAAAGGTAGACCTCTTGAGTTATTCCCTATTTTAATAGCTGCCGTCTCTTCCATATCGCCGTTAAACTGATACATTTGATCTCCTTTGGGTAGAATTCAAATCTATGAATGTGAACCCTTGTTATCTAAGCATGGGATTCTTTGTATACAGTTCTCTCAGAAGTTCTCAGAACCGCTGGATCAAAAGCTGTGCGCCTCAGGGGCGCCTGGGTGGCGCAGTCGGTTAAGCGTCCGACTTCAGCCAGGTCACGATCTCGCGGTCCGGGAGTTCGAGCCCCGCGTCAGGCTCTGGGCTGATGGCTCAGAGCCTGGAGCCTGTTTCCGATTCTGTGTCTCCCTCTCTCTCTGCTCCTCCCCCGTTCATGCTCTGTCTCTCTCTGTCCCAAAAATAAACATTGAAAAAAAAAATTTTTTTTTTTAAATAAAAAAAAAAAAAAGCTGTGCGCCTTCTGTCAGGCTCTGGGGGAACACACGGGGTACCAGTAGCCTGCCCCCCCACCCGCACCCCACTCCACCTTGCTGCCACAGATCAGTATCGTTCTAAAGCTTTGGCACCCGCGCTGCCTAAGGCAGATAGCGTTGCTGGCCTAAAATGTAACTCTTTGGGGGCGCCCGGGTGGCTCAGTCGGTTAAGAGTCCCACTCTCGATTTCAGCTCAGGTCATGATCTCCTGGGCATGAGATCGAGTCCATACTAGGCGTGGAGCCTGCTTGAGATTCTCTTCCTCTTCTGCCCCTTCTCTCTCTCTCTCTCTCAAATACATACTACATTTTTTTTTTGAGAAAATGTACCTCTTTGATTAGAGGACAAGCATCTTTATAGCCTCGGGGTCTTATGAACTTTTGGGTCTCTGCCCTCCTGAACCTCTCTCCCTGTCTGCAGAGAGCTTCCCCAAGTCAGGGGGCAGGCAGGGTCTCCATCTTCTTTCCCACCAAGTCTGCCCCTGCTCCCTTCCTCGGTGCAGCTCTTCCATCTTGCTGTTCGAGAGGGTTATGCAGCTGACGTTTCTCCCTCCTATTTGTATTTTCGAATGTGGCCAGAACCTCATTACCCTATGTGATCACGAAAGGATCCATTTGCTCTCTAGACGTCCCAACGTGGCGCTTGAGGTGTTTCTCGCCCACTGTCAAGTGTATGCAGGTGTGGGGATTTTGACAACTTTGGCAATCGGTACTTGTCCGCGGAGTTTGTCGACACTCCTGTGTCCAAGGGCTCCGGTGACAGGAGCGGACGGACGGACGGACGTGAGCAGTGAGGGTCACTGCGGCACGAGGTTCCCTTGGTTTCCCCGGAGAGGGGCAATCTCAGCTTTGGCTTTCGCAGATCTCAAAACCCCGTCCAAATTCTGCCCAACGTAGAACTTCTTCCCTCCCCTAAACCACTTCTGAGCCGGAGCAGGAACTCGAGCCTTGACAACAGTTGGGTCAGACCTGATGGGGTTGATAACAAACCACTTGTGCTGACCTGTGGCAGGAAGCAGATCGGCTCAGGGGCCTCTCAGGTTCTCTCTTCCTGCCCTTTTAGGGAGGGGGTAAGGGCTAGGGCTGGAGCTGGGTGAAGATCCCACGGACTCCCCTACTTCGCCTGCCCCCGGGCTCTCTCATGCTTCCATGTTGGCAGAGAGCAAAGCCACGTGCTCTGCCTTAAAGGGGGACGACACCTCACAGCCTGTCGCCTCGACTTCAGCAACCTCTGACTCCCTGAAGAGTGGCCGCGTGCCCAGGCATTTCTGTAAGAGCTTTTCCTAGAAAAGTGCCACTTCTGTCCCAGCAGCAGGAAGACTAGATGCCTGATTAACCTTCAGAAGGAAACCACTAAACTGTCAGATGATATGCACATCTGTTAAAAACCTGTTTACATCATCGCAAACAGGAGACGGGAAAAAACATGCACATAGGCCAAAAATAAAAGCAAAAACTCTGAGAAGTAAAACCAACTTCTATTCTGGGGTTTCTGCAGAACCCCGGAGACCTTGATGTTCTGTTTTAACAAGTCCAGGGGAGCACAGGTCAAGCCCAGAGCCTGCCAAATGTGGGGCATCTTGAGCTGGGCCTCCTATGGAAGCTGGGACTGGAGAGGGCTTCATCCTCGATGCAAGACCGAAGGAGAAATGAACCCCTTGCACAGACGGGGGCAGCAAGGGGCCTTGCCTATTTTCAACTCCGTGCTGGATAGACAGACACAAACAACAAAAAGCACTCCCCCGAGAGTGACAATTCCGTCTTCTCTAGGGTGTGCAGGCCAAGTTCTTAGACGAGGGTAGGGGTCTAGGGAATGCTCAAAGTTTCAGTTGAAAAAAAGCTCAATGGCTAAATTTAATTTGAAGTGATCCCGGGCTTCAGGCAAGAGCAAATAAATGCAAATCCTGTCGGGGGGCGGGGGGGCCGCAGAATGTGGTTTCAGCCAGTCTCAAAGAATTCTCATAATAACTTCCAAACTCATGAGATACTAGAGAGTGAAAAGATAAGGCACACACTGGGAAGATAGTTAACACCTTGACAAAATGATCAAACACAGAACGTGTGTGTGTGTGTGTGTGTGTGTGTGTGTGGGCCTGGATGTGGATGAAAAGAGGCTCCACCCCATCAGTAATCACGGATGTGAAAATTAAACTTCAAGGTACTATCACACACCCACGAGACTAGCAAAATTTAAAAATCAGAAAATACGAAGGGTTGGTGAAGGGTATGAAGGCTCGAACACTCCTCCACATGGTTAACGAGAGTGCAGACTGATAATGCTGTGTGGCTAAAGGGCTCGTCGTTACCTATGGTGCCACCTATACACGTCCCCTCCTAGGTTCACTAATAGCCTAGGAAAGACCCTTGCGACAGAATGTTCACAGAAACATTGTTTATGATAGGCAAATTGGAAACAACACACGTCAGGTGTCGACAGGAGGCCGCAGCAATGCACTGTGGGTGTGAAGCTATGACCGAGTTCCACAGTGAACGAGAGGGTTTATCTGTTCGGGTTTATCACTCGCAGGCTGGCCTCCCCGAAAAGGGAACTGTCCTCTTACAAGGCTCCGTGGAGTCCGGCCACTGCCAAGTGCCTAAGGCGCCGATCAATTACAAAGCTTGGACGCCAGCCCCCTGATGAGGCGCTTTTCTGAGGATGAAGGCGGCACTCATCAGGTAACTCCCGCCACGCGGGCTGGCCACCACGGCCAGCTGCAAGAACAGTGTGGACCCGAGATCCGCGACTGTATCGGGGCAGGGTCGGTGCAGCCCCCCAGACGACGAGCTGGCAGGTTAGGGCTGGAACAAAGGTTCTGCTGCGTCACGGCTCCCGTGTCCCCTCCCCTGGTGACCGTGGCAGAGCTGAGCCTCGTGACCATGCAGCCGAAATGCACCACAGCCCCACGCGGGCACCTCCCGCGCACAGCGCACTGCCCTGCGAGGGACGGGCCACGTGGGACCCGCCCTGTGGGGCTGCTCCCCTCTCCAAGGAGCGCGGTTCCAGAAGCCTGGTGGGAGTTCTGTCTGGCCACTGCCTTTGTTTGCACAGCAGTGAATGAACCATAACCACACGCGTCAACGCGGGTAAATCTCGAGAACAACGTGAAGCAAATGAAGTCAGAGCAAGATGAACGATTTCAGGTCCAAGAAGTTCAAAATGAAGCATCCCCCCCCCCCCCCCCGCCATACGCACAATATCGTGGTAAAATTAAAGGGAAAAGTGGAAGAAGGATCCACCCGTTTCAGGGGAGTGGTTTCTTCTGCAGTCACAGAAGAACAGAGGGCCCCCACTGCTGTCCTTAAGCTGGGCGCTGGATACAAGGGTGTTTAGTATTCTTTAAACTGAAAAGGTATGTTTGAGGCCCTTTTGAGCCAGTGTTTCGCCATAAGAAATTTCAAAAGTGTCAAAGGCCTGTTCCCACGGCTGCAAACCTCCCGGTGAGATCTTTGACTTCAGGCTGCTGGTTGAGGCTCCAGTCCGCTGGGCATTTCTTTCTCCAGGATTCTCATCCCCCCGGCTGTCCACACTGTCTGCTCTCCCCTCCCAGCTCGTCCGTGGGCCGGCTCCCCCGCCCCTCCTCGCTTCGGCCAGGCGGTGGGCGGCCGCATCCTCTCCTTCGCCTGCCACCCCCGCTCTGCTCCTCTGCTCTGCGTCCCAAACCCTGCCTGTCGCCTCTCCTCAGACCTACCCGACTCGCGGAACGGCCACGACCCCTCCTCCGCGTCTGCGCCTCTCAGAACTCGGCCCGTGGCCGTGGTCATCCGCACGCTGCCGCCTCCCCGACTGGCCTATGTCCCCGGTCACTCTGTGTCTCCGGGGCCTTAATCTTTACGACACAGCTGTCGAGCGTCAGGGGCCGCCGCGACCCCGAGGGTGTCACCGGATGCCAGCGCAGACGGAAGCAGGGAAAAGGGCAGCCAACAACGCGTGCTCTCCACGTGCGCTGGCGCCATTAACCCTCGGCCACCCTCTGAAGCGGGCACCCGGTGGCCAGGTTTTCAGATGCGGAAACTGAGACACGGACGCGGGCACAGAAACCTGATGAGCCGGGATCCGAACCGGGTCGGACCCCAGAGCCCACACTTTAACCACGACTCTGCACTCCTAGAAAACCGGAGCGGGCTGTCAGCTCCCGGTGCCTGTCTTCACAGAGGACAGGGTAGTCAGCTCGGTCTCCGCAGCCGGATGGCTTCAAGTCCCAGCTCCATGACTCGCCGGGCGGCCTGAGGCCCAGGCACCCCGAGAGCTGGTTTCCGTCTGTACAATGGGGGTAACAGCACCTGCCCGGCACAGTTATCCTCTGGGGCCGAGCTGCCCCGGTGCCCGTGTTGCGGGAGAGACTAACGTAACCACAGCGCCCCCAGGTGGTCGCCCTGGCCAGCGCCCCAAGGCCAAGCAACCTCCAAGGGCGGAGGAACATGGGGTTTGGGCACACTTGGTCCCCAGGCACGAGCCCAGGCGTGGATTGCCGAGGGGCCAAAGTTCATGCTGGCTGCAGTGAGCGCCGATTACACCACAAACCATTTCCCTTCAGACACCTGGACTAACGACTCCTCGATCCTGAACACAAAACTCAGGAGCCTGACAACACGAGTCCAGAAGAGGTGAGCCCTCTTAGAATCCACCAGAACCCAACCCACCCGGCTGAGAACTATTGCCAGAAGGTTCACCTACAAGGCGGCTGAGCCCACAATGCAGAGAGAACGGCGGAGGGTGGGGGGCGGGGGGG